TTTTTTTATTATACAACAAAATGTTTGCCAAAAAGTTTGTGAACCAAAAGTTTTTACTGAACGAGATTTTGTCGAAAAACGTCCAAAAGTTTATTAATACCCAAAAGTTGGCTACAAATCCGTACAACAAGTCATGTCTTCAGATAAGTCGCCGACACTTGAACTCAACGCCACTGTCGTCGGTGTTATCGCCGGAACAGTTGGCCACCAGCGGCGCCGCCCCCTCCACCACATCCACCTCAGCGCCGGTGGACGTGATGGCCGAAGACGTGCCAGAGTTTCCCGGCTCGAGGTCTAAGTGGACGGAAACTCTTCGCTTTATTCTTCCGGAACACTTCGAAGGCATACCAGTGTATCGGGTGATGAACCGCAAGGGCATTGTCATCGAGCCGTCGGAGGATCCCAACCTATCGCAGGATATGGTCACCAAAATATATAAAGGTTTTTACCATTTATTCAGACAATGATACTGTCGTTGACTGTGGTTTTTGATCGCCAATTAATCCGTTATTTTGCGACTATTTTGTCGATTGATTGGTTGTTGCGGTGGAAAGGGATGACGATTTTGAATTCAATGGATAGAGTGCTATACGAGAGCCAAAGACAGGGACGGATCAGCTTTTATATGACAAACTATGGCGAAGAGGGCACTCACTTCGGCTCAGCCGCCGCTATCAACGACGACGACCTCGTCTTTGGACAGTACAGGGAAGCAGGTCTGACAATGACATACCCGGCCACACGCGACCCCCATGTCAGGCATTACTAACAGCCTTATCACCTATTGTTTAGGTGTCTTAATGTGGAGGGGATTCAAATTAGACAAATTCATGGCCCAGTGTTATGGCAACTGCGACGACCTCGAGAAGGGTCGCCAAATGCCTGTCCACTATGGCTCCCGAGACCATTATTTCGTGTCGATATCGTCCCCATTGGCCACTCAGATGCCACAGGCCGTGGGCGCCGCCTACGCCCTCAAGAGGGAGGCCAAGGGCCGGTGCGTTATCTGTTACTTCGGTGAGGGGGCCGCCTCCGAGGGTGACGCTCAGGCGGCTCTCAACTTTGCCGCCACTCTCAACGCCCCCATCATATTCTTCTGGTATTTTAGATGATTATCACTCTATTTGATCCTATGATCTAATGTTTATTCTAAATAATTTTAGCCGTAATAATGGTTACGCCATCTCTACACCGACTCACGAGCAGTACAGGGGCGATGGCATCGGTATGTCGTCTTGATTTCCATTGTGTTGAACGCAATTTAAAACCTATTATTGATTATAGCGTCGAGAGGGCCGGCGTTTGGCATACCATCGGTTAGAGTGGACGGCAACGACGTGTTGGCCGTATATAACGCCACACGACAGGCCCGCAGTATATGCGTCGACGAGTCGCGGCCGGTGCTCATAGAGGCCATGACCTACCGGATCGGACACCACTCGACGTCGGACGACTCGAGCGCCTACCGGTCCGTGGATGAGGTGAAACAGTGGCACCAAAAGGATCACCCGATCTCCCGAACCCGCAAATACATGGAACACAAGAACTGGTGGAACGAAGAGATGGAGAAGTCGTGGAAAGAGGAGGCGAAACGACAGGTGATGTCGGCCTTCACTAACGCCGAGAAGCAACTGAAACCCAATTGGATGGACATGTTTACCGATGTGTACCACGAGATGCCCGACAACTTGACGGAACAGATGGAGGAGTTACGGAAGCACTTGGATTTGTACAAAGAGCACTATCCTATCAATAACTTTAAGCAATAGTTGTGTTTGTTTTGCGAAACTTGTGGTTATTATTGATATAATATACTAATTCTCGTTGCCATTCAGTCTATACTCACGAGTCGGCAAAAAAAAGTATAAAAGTATACACAGATTTGTGTAATTATTATTTTTATGTTGATTATACTGATGTATACATAATGTTGTTTAGTGTTTACAGTGTAAACTTTACACCAATTTTTTTGCTCATTTGAATTCCTGCCAATTAACACCATAAACTCAATCCACATATTCTTATGATTTATATTAATTATAGTTTGGAATTTAATTTATGTTATATTTGTTGACTTTATAACATGCGCCCAATGAGATGTGTTATAATATTTTTATGTAAATTAAAGTCTATTTTCTACAGAATTTTGACGTATTCATAGAAGTTGTGTTAATTAACAATTAACTATCAATAAGTAGTCAACACATTAATAATTGTTGAGCATTTAAATTTTTAATCAAATTTTAGGCAATTTTATTCAATTGATTTTTAAGACTAATTTATAAATAAAAAAGTTTAATTCATAACAAACATTGAGATGCTCTTTCCGCACCCATATAACATGATTTCATATAAATTAGTTATAAATTAATTTTAACATATTTTGTTTACAAATTAAATGTCATAAGTATAGTGCATATTAGGCTTTAGGGGACAGGGTTTTCCTTAAGTC